AGCAGTATGGATGCCAATAGCTTGGAGACAACCGAAATCAGACTGATCCCGTGAGGATTTACAAATGAAGTGTAAGCGCCTTTCTTGAAAATCATGACATTAACTGATTCGCCCCAAGAGGAAAACACTTTTTCTTCATGCCAGATTTTGCGAACAGCGCGGTCAGCTGGTTAATGATCGCCACACCGCCGTATTTGAACAGCTCCGGAGGAAGTCCGTATGAGCCAGCAGCCTTGAACCGTTTCAAGCGCCGAATCTCGAGGCAAACGTCTGCTTTGCTGAGTGGATTCAGTAGGACGAGCCAGGGTGGACAACAATGTATACTGCATGTACTGATGGATGGTGGAGGCCAGTGAAAGTGCTCGGCCCAGCGGTCCATACACCTCTCTTGGTTGATGATCGGAGACTCATCCACGTCCCAAATGACCTCACTGACACCAGGCTTTCTGAAGCCAGTGGACTAAATGAGTTGGAAAAGCCTCGGGGTGTTTCCAGAGAGCGCAGCGTTCTCCATCACTAAAGCACGCTCAGACCACCATGTCTTGCGATCCTTGCGGAGGCTTTGCTTGAGCAGCCGGTTGGCAGAACGGCGCCGCTCGTTGCAATCTGATTCCGCGGGGATATCTTTGCGGTGTTCGAACAGCTCCAGAGAACGAGCAGAGATCCAAGCCTTTAGGGGGGGGGGTATCTAGTTAGGCCGCAGTTTGACTGTCCGGAAATGGTCATTGCTTTCCGTATACAAGCCCATTGTTGCTCTAGGTCTTGCGATAGATTGCAACTGAGTGCGTATGCCAGTGAAGACCGATAGCTCGCCTGGACAGAGAAATCAGTTAATCTGTTTACATCAAACTTGCTGGGTTTCGTGTTTTAGGACCCCAAAAACACAGATTTCGCGCAGACCAGTGCAAGATCTGAGTCAACGAATGTGGACTAAAAGAATCTGCTATCCAATACGCTGCCGCATCATCTGAAGCTAATTGCAATGTGGTCATTTGAGACTATGGATGTCTTGGCGAAGGGGGACGCCACGTTGCGGAACGCTTCTTCGTACGCCTGAAGTTATTGCTCGAGAGAAACAGCTGTTTTTCTTCGCACAATGTGAAAAGCCTCTCTCCGTTATCAGAGCGGTTCTCATCGAGCGTATGATGACCACGAAGGTGGCGTTCGTATGGTAACAGGCAGCCAACCCGTTCATTAAAATCCCCAGCAAGGATAACGACATCCGACTTTTTAGCATTAGTCTAGAGCTGATGTAGATCCCGGTAGAATTCGTCCTTGACCGAGTCGCCACTGCAGTCAGTTGGAGTGTACACGGAGATCACAAATAAGCTGCGTCTCTCTTCGCGGTGCTTATTGATTTTACATGGACCCCGAAATCGAACTGCACACTGTCGGCTGTTAATCGGGATCCAATCCAGTAGTGCCGCCTCGGTCCTGCCACTTAGTGCTATACCCACATCAGCCAAAACCTCTGAGGCTGCTTCTGGATCTCCAAAAAGACGCAGGCGCTGTCTGGCTTCGTGGTCATTGGTGATGTCAATCTAAGCACAGTGCTGGGATTTTGCAGTCGGGTTTCTGAAAGGCTGCGGACATCAATGTCTAGGGACTCTAGGGTGCGCGCTAGGCCGGCTTACTGTTTAATCTGCATGAGTGTCCGAATGTTGAAGCACACCAGACAGAACCAGGATCGTGGACGAAGGAGAGCCATGGGTTGAACTCCTTGGTGCGCGGCGCAACCGGAATCGGGTAACGGAAAGTATGGTTTATTAGCAAACAAACAATTGACGTGTGATGAAGTCACGTGAATGTGAGAATCAGAAACAGTAGCTGATGTGCACATTGTAGTACAGTCCATGGTTTTTGAGAGGACATGATACTAACCGGTTGTCCAAGTCAAAGTAGGGAGTTGACTTAGGGGACTCCACCCCTAGCCTTTGGCTAAATAACCTACCTGCAATGCAGCGGGGCCAATTTGGGGAATCGCACCCATTGGGAGGCGCTGACTGAATGTTCAGTTCATGCGTCTTTGTTCGGTAGATCACCAAACAGGGGCGCAATACTCCCCATGAAGTCAGTACAACTACTGGAATACAATGCCCTCCCGAGGTGGAACATTGTCGCAGAACACTGCTGGAATTGGGTACACCCGAACCACCCAGTTGGCACCACGAAGAGGTAGTTCGGCAAGTCAGCCACCTGAAACAGTAGCTGAGACGGATGGACGAATGGTTCAATCTTATTCATGTCGGCTAGAAAGCTGAGTAGATAGCTTACATTGCTATCCAGCCTGCTTGAAATATAAAATTTGTTAGTTGGGTTACTTGAACGCATCTGGATTGTTGACGTAACGACTGCTATTAGTAGTAACATATTTGACTAAGCTAATCAGTTTACTTACATTCCATTCACTACTGTGTATGTCTCAATTATGATGGATGTTAACAGCGCATAATATTATCTCAATTTTGCTTTACCTTCTCCATTCTTTTTCCTGTTGTTTTATTGTTGCACGATAGCCGAGGTGTTTCTCGCCTCTAGCTAACGTGTGTAATGAATATAAATGAATGATCAGCTGACTTGACATTATGAGCACTTCGATACTCGACAGCTCACTGGTATGCCTCCTCGATTAACTAATAATGATGTGTAATAAACAGGTCACACTCAGTGGCTGTTTGATCGCTAACTGAACGTAAACCATTACCATTCACTTCTATATCGACTTCTGTCATCAAGGAGATGGGATACCAATCATGGCTACTGAAGTATGACAAGGCGCCTAACATCTTTGATCTTTCACCATCCTTACTGATGGACGATGGCGATGAATTTGTGCTTCTCTTAACCGTGAACATCGACTTATTGTCACTCACAGCTCATCTTCCTTCATGCTACCCAAGTACATTATCCTGTCGCGTCTCATTGATTCTTCTTGAGATACAAGGATGCACTGACCGCGCGTTTTATTTTTGCCATATGCTTAAACATCACCGCACTTACGAAGTGCCTGTCATCGTAGACTTTCCTGGTTTCATTGATTTTGTTTGTCTCCGACTTGTGATAGCATTTAGCTTTGAAGAGGGTTTCAGATAAATCACTTTTATTCTAAATCTCTATGACACGACTCCTCGGTCTCTTTAATAGCCCACAGGAAATTCCCTTGAATTCCTAAGTGCTCAACTTTCTAGTTGGTCTGACACTTGTGTCCCACTTCTGTGATGGAGGTTCTGTTAAGCGATCTGTTACCTGTGTGTAGACAAACTAACTCTCTTTGGGTTGATCTGTTCTATTAACCGTGTGCTACTGAATCGGCCAACACGTTGCATTAAACATTTTAGCATGCGCTTCTAATCTTTAGACTGCAGGTTTCTGTTACAGACTATATCAATCCGCCTCCAATTTTCACTACTACGAATGAAGGGATAACTTTTTCTGCTCTAATGTGTAACTTGTCTGCTTTTGTTAGGACAGATTTAGCCAGCAATTCTGCGACACTGCTCCAACGGGTCGTGGTAAGTTTATATCTCAAGTAAAATAGGGCCTTAATATCCAACAATTAGTTTGATCTGCTATATCCCCAACTGCATTTTGTGTTACTCAGTAAAAGAACGAATTCCGGGACTGAAACTTTCATAGGTTTGTTCGAGCTATAATTTTTCCCTCTGAAGCAGTATATATACTGCGTTTCACATTTGTAGTCTATACAGTCGATCTCCCGTGAAGCATTTGGGAATAGTGCCCTTCTACATATTTAAAACTAATGGAGCTTGCTCACCTTACACCAAATGTCTTGTAGTAGCCGTTCTGTAACCTGCGTGCGAGTTTTATCGAGTATATCGACAGCCAGGCTATACGATCCACATTAATTCTTCTGTATACTGCCAATACTGCCCCTTACGATTGACTTTTGTGTGTTATCTTGCACGCCGATTACTGACGCATAATTCGTCTTCGTTAGCTTTTCGTTTCACACAACTACCTTATCTGAGACTGCTTTGCGGATAATTTCATTTATCAGAACGAGAATCTAAACAGTGCAATCGTTTTATTACCTTGTGCGCAGCGAGGTTTATCTGTAAGGTCACTTGAGATCATTTTGCGATTTTACTAGACAATCGGCTTGGTGAAAACGCTGCTCGAACTACAATACTAAAAGGTCTGTAACTCCGTTACATTGGAGGATTGTATCGGGTGGCTTCCAGTTAGCGTTGTCATCTAAGTATGCGATAGCGCGGGGGTGGATAGCATCGTTAATGAAGCTGCACCGGATTAGAGTATAATTTGAGCGTGTTACCGAAGAAGGCGTCATGTCATAGACTGCGAAGTTGTGACTATGCAAAGTGTAGAATGAATAATATCATAACTTCTTTCTCTGCAATGATTGAGTGCGAACAATTCAGCCTAGCGTGTGTCCTCAGTAGCTTGTCGGTCAGATGGCTTTCCAGTCACATTACTTATGCATTCAATCGCTGCCTGTTTTCGCTGTTTGTATTTGCTCCGCCGGCACGTAGCCTAAAGGTAACGAGCTTGTAACCTGACGGCGCAGGTCCGAGTCTGCGTAGGGACCGGGTGACCCTTGCAATATCCTTAGCCCATTCGCTACCTGTGTTGGTTACGTGGCAGCGAAGCGTCGGTACTGCGTACCGGCGTACTGCTAATTCCTCTTCCATTTGTTCCTGCTCTCGCTTCTCTCATTTGTCCCTTAAACATGGGGAACTCATGCATTTGTAATCCTTCTGCATTTGTTTTTATTTCTAACTTCTTGCGAGACGTTCAACCTTTTGGTCAAAGGCCTAAAAATTCGCGTTTCTTTGATTATTTTCAAGCGCCTTCTGCGCCACTTCCATCTTGCTTTTTTGACTATGGCTCTTTGGGCACTTAGTTCAACTAACTCTTCGTGTGCGATGCTGGAACTAGTTGAGACCTATGTAAGACAAGCACTATATTTGGAACCGCTTAGCAAACTAATTGTGTATCCCGGCGATAAAAACAGCACACTCTATTAACACTGCTCTTTAGAACGATTCAAGCTACTTTATCTCCAGTAACCATTACAGAGCCGATTCAGTCATGTGATTGGTTATATGCACTTACTCTGAATCAGTCAGCTGTGCACCATTTTATTTTTTCTGTTGAAATTAACCGTGGAAAGCGTTTCTTGTCAATTCACTAGTTTTACCTCCTAACGCGTTTTTTCATGAAACGACCAAAATGTAGGTCTTAACTTGTGTTAAGCTTCCGTTCAACATTTTCAATCATGCATCTTATGCAGTGTGATCTAAAGCTTCTTACTACACCCTTCCGATTCTCTCACCAGCGAGTTTGGGATCTGACTCCAAGATTGATCAGAGTTGACGCACTCGTACTCCATGCACCTCTCTTCGAATCCTTTTTTCGTCGAGTGAGCAAAGTAGCCTCGCGCGGTTTTACCTTTTCTGTTCAATTGTGTTACTTTGTCTGTTCCTCCCATCTTATCTCTCGGTTCTATGTTTGACAGAGTACTACTTTGCTTGGTCCTCGCAGCGAAAGTGACAAAGGTAAAAAGTGTTTTGTTATCGATCTTGATGAAACACTTGTGCACAGCTCGTTCAAAGTGAGTTACTAGATTCTGTTTTGTACATCCAGTCTTAACACGTGCAGTTATGGTTAAGTTTTTCTCACCTCCGCCACTTGTGCCATTCTTTAACGTAATGCAGTCGATTGCGGTCAACCACCCATGTTGCTTACTCAAATATTAAACGTTCTGCCTAATAGCGTTAATCCTCTAAAAGTTTCCCCAGTCCGCGCGTTTAAGCACCTTTAGTGGTAATACTAGACAGTAACGTTTTTAAACTCATTTCGCACTTTATGGCATTAGTCACCTGCGGATTTTCCACTAGTGTATGGGCTTTTCCTCGATTAGCTCTGCGTCGCGCCACTATTCAGGCGTCATTTTGGCCGTTACTATTCATACCTTTTGAACGACTTGGAAAAGGGTTACCACATCAGTGTACACGTTAGCTAGGGTGGAAAACACCCCAGCTATTATGCCGCAATACATAGGAAAAGCATGCTAAAGAAGACATGCAACAGAGGCACGTCGGCTGAGACACCAGTAATGCATGGGCCTCGTTCCGGAGAGCTACCAGCCGGTTATTGTGTCTAAGAAATGAGATCGTAGTTGGAGGGGGAGGCTAAGCCTCACGAACGCCACTGAGGTCGACTCCTAGCCATATCAACAAGTGTATCTACTCAGACGTGTCTTTCGAACCTCAACTGGAAAGCCGAGGGACCTAAAAATGTAGCCAACTTCGAAATAAGGGCCTTCATTCTTCTTGACTAAGTCATCGCCTGGCCATCCATTCTCTTCTTCCATCCACACCCTGGCGCGCAAACAACGCACATCGTGCGAGTTGGTGTGCCTCTATGCGCAGCACGTGGCTCCGCCATCACAGTCTAGTGTGTGATATACCGGTGATGAGCGGTTCGCTTCTTCTTCTTCTTGCGCCATAAACAAAGCGTCGTACCCTCTCATTGCTCACACGGTGTTCCAACCATCTGTGAGCCCAATTGCGAATGCACCGGTAGTCGAACGTAACTATTCTCTTCATATCTGTCGATTGCAAACTCTACTCTTCTAGGAGAGTGTGATATCGCGCCGGCATTACAGGTAGCGAAGGTTAGCAAAACCGCTTCGAGCTTTTGCGATACGGTTTGTGACCTCGTCTTTGATTCCACAGCTTCTGACCCAACCGCCGTGGTAGTTGAATTTTTGGACGACTTTCTAGCTGATTCCCACCAAGGGTCTGCGCAGGAGGCGGTCTCTGCCAATCTTGGAGGAAAGCTTTGAACTTTTAGGGTGCAAAGCAGAACCCTAAAGGGCTGGCAACCACTGCTTATCAGTCCAGTGTAGGTTGGCATGTCTAGGAGTTGTCACAGATGAGAGCATTGTCGTCAGCATACTCCAAATCAAGAAGTTCACCCGGAAGCAGCTCTACACCTGTGTCATATGAACGCGATCTCTATGACTTCGTCGATGGCGAAGTTGAAGACGAAAGGTGACAGCGGGCATCCATGTCTTACATCGCTGGAGATATTGAAGGGCGGTGACAGCTTACCTTATACCATCACTCTCCGAGCCATGCGCGTAAGGCGTTTAGATAATATTTACATATTTCGCAGGTTCACCTTTCCTGAATAGACAGTCTCAAAGAGCACATCGTTCAACCGTCCTGAAGACACCTTCGATCTCCAGGAATACGACAATGGTGGGCCTCCAGTATATGTCACGGTGCTCCAACAATTGACGTAATGTGAGGATCTGATCGATGTACCCCGTTCTCGATGAAACCCGGTTTCCTCTTCACGAATTTGGCTTTCACAAGTACCAGTCAGTGTGTGTCGCATGACGTAAGCAAGCAGTTTGGATGCGATGGAGATCAGACTTATTCCTCTATGGTTGACGCATTCCGAATGTGAGCCTCACTTGAAAATCGGAATTATAAGGGGGCGGCTCCAGTCAATTGGGACAGTTTCCTGCTCCCACATTTCCACTTGTAATTCGTGTAAATCATCAGTAAGGGCAGGGCTCTTGAATTTGAAGAGTGCTAGATGAAGATCATCTGGTGTCGCGGCTTTATTCCACTTGAACAGGCCGATCTCACCTTCTACTTCTGAGCGAAAGGGCGGATCCAGAACAACAGCTCAGGAAATAGGGCGACCAATGGCCGGTGAGAAATCTGACAATTCTGCTGATTAAATTACTTTTCAAAGTGCTCAGATAAACACTCCAAGCGTTCTGAAAAGTTATGGACAGGCTGTCCACTTTCGTCATAAATAGCTTCACTAACACCAGGTCTTCTGCTACTCTTTCCACGTATCAGACCAAAAGCAGCGACCACTTTCATCTCTGACGCACGATGAGGCCACCAGGATTCGCGGTCTTTCCTCAGGCTAGGATGACGTTTTACCCTGACGTCTTTACGAGTCTCGTTATGTTTGCTTCCGGCCGGAATCTGCCGGCGAGCATTCATAAGTTCCAAACTGCGAAGGGACCCAAAGTCCACGTTGGCTATCAGATTTGCCACCTGAGGGTTTGCCTGCTGCTAGTAAAGTCTGGTGGAAATTCGAACAGTGCTTATTCAACCCGAATGCGGGTGTACTTCGATACGCATTCAGAACATCTGGCTTCGTCAGTTGACTAGGATCTATGTCGTCGAAGCCGTCCTCCAAAACGCATCCGCAGATCAGCACGTTTAGTGTCCACACATATACTCCAAATCGAGCGACACTTCTGAATGCAGACTCTACAACGGTAACTGGTTACGATGTGATCTATTTGCATCCAAGGCTGGTGGGCGCCATATCACTCTCCAGCGGGTGTTGTGTGGGAAGTTAGTGCTCACCAGAAATAAGTGACCATCTTCACACAAACGAAGTAACCGCCTTCCATCATCATTACGGGAGCCTACACCATGTTGGCCGCCCAGATGCAGCTCATCAGTGGATAATTTTCCAACTTGAGTGTTCAGATCTCCAGTCAACAATACATTGTCCGTGCGTCCTCTGTGACGAACTAGCTCGTTCAGTTGGCGATAGAAGTCGTCTTTTGCCGAGTCATCGCTACAGTTTATGGGGCGTAGTAAGCGATGACAGACCGACACCTATTGGTCCCGCGTGACTTCGAAACTTTGAACGAGCTAGTCAATCTGATGGCACACATCCGACTACTGATTGGGATCCAATCAACCAAAGCAGGTTCAGCCCGAGGACTCAGGGCAATTCCAACGCCGGCTTGACCGGCATTTGTAGCTACTGCATCTCTGGATCATGCAGTGAGAAAGCATTGTTAATTTCACTTGAAGGGGATTGCAAAGCGGGCAGGCGAGTTTCCGAGAAGCAACAGATATCGATCGAGAGGGTCTCTAATGTTCAGGTAGGTGCTGGCTGTTGACCGATCTGTAATGCTGTGCGTCGGTTGAGACATGTCAGTCTGAGGGAGTATCGACAGCTCCAATTGGAAACCGATGAACGGTGCTTGTCCGCTTGTTGACACCATAGGAGTGATGCTCCGCGTTTGCATGTGAGTTGCAATTGGAGGATAAACTTCTATGAAGGCAAAATGAGGGCCAATTATTGAAGGTTGAATATGGGGGAGGAGTAAAAGTGAAGTTGGAAGTGGACGATAAGGATGGAAAAGTGTAAGATGGGCAATAAGAAGACTGGAAGACTTGAGCAATAGCATGCAAATCCCTATCCATCCTGCTCGATGCAGTAGCTAGAGCGCCGTTTATTGTCTGCGACGGTCATAACATCAAAAAATGGTTGGAAGGTAAGATCATTGTATTGCGTGGGCAGGATACTGTCAAGTGACCCAGGCCTAGCCAGCAGAACGATTTGAGTTCTCAACCAATGCCGTTGGTTCAAAAACCTGACCGCAAGATAGCGGGTTTGTCAGTGGGCTACAAGAAGTCCGCTTTTGGGGATGAGGAGCCATCCTCATTCCAACCCCCAACCTGGAGGACCAGGAGGCTGAGTTTGTCTTGCCTCTAGGCATTGACCAATCTGGTATGAGTGACTGAAGATGCGAAAACCATCACCTAGCAAAGCTCAGTGGGTCGCTGAGGCACACAAACCATTGCACCACGATTAGGTCCACCGTCTGCGATTTTGAAGACATGGATAAATTTGAACAGAGTAATGTATTTCGTATTATCTTTTAAACACGAAGGTAATATTGCTATTTAATCCTGCATAGCTCCTTTGTACACAGTGTGTACATTCGTACACAAGCGAACACGTTTTGTTTTCAGGTTTTTTGTTAAGACGTACATATACTCTCATTTGTTTAATTGATAATCAGCGATCAAGTTATTTCGTTCACTATGTCACGAAATCTAGTTCATTACTATCAACGCAGGCAATAATTTTTAAGACCAATGTTCTGCTTGTGTACGAAAGTGATGAACTCCAAAAATGTTGCGTTTTTTGTTTTTGCACAACAGTTTCTCATTTTTCATCGCAACTGGACCAGACTCTAACGTGGTTCAAAGGCTTGCGCGGTTCTCCTTTTAAACGAGCTATTCTTATTGACACTTAATCACCTTGAGAATTACTGTCGCCTTGGTCGATGGTTAGACATTAGGGGACCTTGGCTTACTTCCGCTCTAAATCAGTGTTTGGGAATTGAGTTGCGTTATTTTCTCTGTAATAGGGCTGTCAAGTATAACACCCTGCCTGTTGTGAAAGCGGCGCTATCCATCTCCCACACCTTGATTGATATCATGCTTGTGGGAGTTTTGGGGACTGCTCTGTACCAGAACGATCTTATCGTAGTAGACCGAGCAACAGCGAAATTGTTTAATCAGTAGGGTAAAGTTCTTAGCTGTATCCAGTCGTATGGTTTTCTGGTTCGTGAGGACAAATCCACTTTCTCACATCGATTATCAACCACCTTGATTTTATCCTTGAGGAAGATAGTTTTCGACCTGATCTGGAGCACATGGAGGCTACCCGGAAAATGTCTCCATTGACACGCCTGCAATCGATACATTCCTGTTATGGTCTGAGCAAGCATCATGGTACACTTTCACCCGAAAAGCGTCGCCTGTGTGC